TGGTTCTTTCATTGTTTGAAAAATGATTTGGAGACAGTTATACAGGCCCAAATTAGCACCTAATGTTGTTGTTGTTGTTGTTAACTGCCCTCAAGTTGATCTCGACCCATGGCGGCCTTGTTGATGAGACATCTCCAAGATTCCCTGTCCTCCACTGCTTTGCTTAGGTCCTGCAAACTCATACCCGTGATCTCCTTAATAGAGGCCTTCCATCTCACATGTGGCCTTCCTCTCTTTCTACTTCCCTCCACCTTTCCCAGCATTATTGTTTTTTTTTCCAGTGAGTCCTCCTTTCTCATGATGTGTCCAAAGTACAACAGCCTCAGTTTTGTCATCTTGGGAGGGATAACCAGGGAGATCTCTGGCTTGATCTGCTTATCTTTTTGGCTGCCCATAGAATCCTTAGCACTCTTCTCTAGTACCACATCTCAAATGCATTGATTTTCTTCTGTCTTCCTTCTTTAACTTCCAGCTCTCACATCCATACATGGTAATAGGGAATACAATGGCTTGTATGATTCTAACTTTTGTTCTGAGTTGTATATCTTTGCATTTTAAAATCTTTTCTAGTTCTTTCATAGCTGGTCTCCCCATTTTTAATCTTCTGATTTCCTGCCTACAGTCCTTGGGCCTTTACAGATTGCACTGGGGGAAGTCAGTGCAGCTTTTCCGAGGCTGTATTGAAGTCCTGCTGGCCCCAAGGACATCGAGAAGGGAGACAGAGCAAAGCAAAAGCAAAGCAGCTTCATTTATATACCGCTTCATATCGCACATGGGATGTCTAAGCAGTTTACAACTGTGAGCTGATTGCCCCCCAACAAGTTGGGTACTCATTTTAGCGACCTCGGAAGGATGCAGGCCTGAGTCGAGCCTCAGCCCTGGCTGGTATTGAACTCGCAACCTTGTGGTCTGTGAGTGAGTGGCTGCAGTACAGGCATTTAACCACTGCGCCACCAGGCCAGCAATGGTTATTTTGTTGTTGTTGTTGTTGTTGTTGTTGTTCTCTCAGATGCATGTGCACGTGTGCAGGAACACATCCCTGCACATCTGCGCATGTGCGCAGAACATGTCATAAGCTGCTATACAGTCTGTCACTCTCTGTGTACAAAGGTGACAGAAGTTCAGCATCCCTGCGCACCTGCACAGAACATGTCATAGGGTGGCATACAGTCTGTCATTTTGTCTGTACAAAGGTGACTGATGTTCAGCATCCCTGTGCACCTGTGCAGGACCTGTCATACACCCACAGATCATGCAAGGATTCGCTGACCTCGGCTTCCCCCAAGTAGTGGGTGCAGTAGACAGGTGTCACTGTCTGATTGTGCTACCCTTGGGGTAAAGGAACAGGTTTGTCAACTGAAAAGACACTTCATCATCCTCCACAAAACATGTGCCACACAGATCAGGGGGGAGGGGAGAGGTACATACAAGGGAGGTTTGTGTGGACAGACTAGATACATGCAGCTGGTGGTCATGCAAGGGACATGGTCAACAGGACACACAGGCAAACATTACTCCAGGAGCCCTCCCCCCTCCCAATCATGCCAAGAAGTGGTGTGTAGGTCTTGTGCACACCTCCACACCTGCACAGAAGAGGTCACAAAAGCCTCTTATGCAAACTACTGCGCATGCTGACAGCAAGCATACATGTGACAGAATGCATTTATTGTCATAATAGAAAACAGTTGCTAAGGTGCATGCATAGCATTACAATTAGGGTTAGGATTAGGGTTCTAATATTCAAGCGCTCCTGCGGCTGTGAATCCACACCTGGAAGCATAGGGCGCTTTAAATTAAAGCCTGCATTGTAGGGCACATGCTCTGGTTCACCGACTCAATTTCTGCCGCACGTGAGGTGGTGCATTTATGTGGCTATTTTAAATCTCCGTCACCCTTTTTCTGATGCACCGGTGTTGCTGCATACATACACACATGCGAAGATGTACATCTTTCTGGAAGAAGCAGAAAAAAGCTGCTCCTTTTTGGAGCAGCTTTTCCAGGCATAATACACCTAGAGGACACTTTCCTGCTGGCTTTTAGGCATGTGCTATGCCCCCAAGTCAGCCTGAAAGCACCTCTTTTTGCCTATCTGTACTGCCCCATAATATTCAATAGTAGGCCTGCCTTTGCACTTTCTTCCTTGATCTTCTTTAGTAGTAGTTCCAAGTATGGGAGGTTTTCTGCCTCCCATATGCACATGACACCTCCCAAGTATGGGAGGTGTCATGTGCATATCCTATATTGCTGATATTCCTTCCTCCTATTTTCACTCCTCCTCCTCCTCCTTTGTCCAAGCCTGCTATTCTTATAATATGTTCTGCATATAAGTTGAACAGGTAGGGTGATAAGATGCAGCCTTGTCTGACCCCTTTGCCAATTGGGAACTGTTTCTCTGTTCTGTTCTGACAGTAGCCTTTTGTCTTAAGTACAGATTCCTCATCAGGACTATCAGATGTGTTGGCACTCCCATGTCTTTAAGCGCACTCCATAGCCTTTCATGATCTATGCAGTCAAAGGCTTTGCTATAGTCTAGGGGTAGGCAGGTTCCCCTTACCTGGGGCCAGTCTGGGGATCCCCTGGTTTTCCGCAGGCCGATGGTGGTGGTGGAGAAATGGCGCGTTCGCTCATGCGCGCGCATGCTCAGTACAACGGAAGTACTGCGCACATGCACACGTGCTTGCTCACGCATGTGCAGTACTTCCGGAGTACTGCGCATGCGCGAGCGAGTTGCAGACGCCATTTTGGAAAACAAAATGGCGGCCGCGCCGTGCACAGTGGCGGCAGGGGGGGTCGGCAGCAGGGGCCGGCCCCCTGCTATAGTCTAGAAAACACATGCTGATTTTTATTTTATTTTATTTTATCTTATTTTATTTTTTGGAATTCCCTCGTGTGCTCCATTAGCCATCATATGTTTGCAATTTGATCCCTTGTGCCTCTTCTTTTCCTGAACCCCACTTGGACCTCTGAGATTTCTCTCTTCATGTATGGTTGGAGTCTATGTTGCAGAATTTTGAGTATGATTTTGCTTGCATGGGAGATTAGTGCTATGGTCCTATAGTTCCTACAGTCCTTTGTGTCTCCTTTTTTGTAGATGGGACTAATGTTAATAGAAACTAATGTTACTCTTCAGTAATTCCTCAACTCTGTTTTGGAAGCTCCAGTCCCATTTTGTAACCGTTTTAAGGAAGGACATTGTTTTAGTTTGAGTGGGATGGAAGAATATGCTCCGCTGCTCTGTATGCAGCTTCATTTTAAGAAACAGCTTCAGTTCCCTACTCTCCATCTTATTGAAATCTGCTAGTTCATACCTGAAGAACTCATTATTTCAGATGGGACAAAATTGGGAGAGGGACTGTCCCATACCTTGGATTACTGCTACTCATTAAAATTGCTACCTTTGCCCCTTAACACATGCAAAACTGAGTAAACCATCTGATACTTAAGTGAGTTGGCTCTATTCTTTGATTCAGTGGCTTGGTGCTTGACAGGTCAGAATTGGAAGATTGAAAGCTTCTATCACCACTGTCTCCCTCCCCTCAGAAAAATACCCAGCCTGTGTTGGTAAACCTTTGCAGCTGTCTGCTTGTTTTATAATTCACTGAACCCTTCTCTGCTGTACTGTGACCACAGTGCATTTTTTAATCCTTAGGTAAGACACTTGTATATCTGTGATTTCCACAAGAACTTCATTCAGAGTGTTCGAAACAAAAGGAAAAGAAAGACGAGTGATGATGGGGGAGACTCTCCAGAGCATGATATAGATGTCCCAGAGGTATGTAACATAATGAAATTTGAGGAGGAGTTGTTTCTGTTATGGTCACATCTTGATCAACCTTTGTTTTTAATTCTAAAGATAATATAGTAAATATACTATCTAATGTTATAATTGCATCTTATATAATCCTTTCACTATCAGTGGCTTTAGAGTGCTTCACTTATGCTGTTCCCTACCATTTTACAAAAAACCCACTGCTTGCTTCATACATTTAAACTCTTTTCTATCTGATGTGGACAGACCATAAGTGAGCTTAGGGAGGAGCCAAGCTGCAGATAGCTTGCTATATCCTAAACCCTGCTGAATTGTACTAGCCAGAACAGAAAGGGCAAGGATAGTTTTCTCACACTTTTAAGCCCAGTGGATATTTACAACCATGACTGTACTCCAGCCCTGCCAAACAGGAATTGGGTATAAATGGGATGCCTATACCTGCCCATCTGGGGAGTAAAGTAGCTTGATCAGGATTGCTCTCCAACTTTTTCTTCTCACTCTCTGCCAAAAAAGGAGAGTGAACAATTGGATAAACGTAGGTATATTCCATCTGTATTGGCAACTGAATTCACCACCACCACTTTTTTTTTATTTTTTTATTTTCTTCACTCAGTCTATTTCTGTGTGTCTCCTGTCCTTTAGATTATAAACGTGAGACTACATAATTCTTTTTGTGAATTGTAAAACAAACAGAAATAGCAAAGAAGGTTGCTGGAATCCAAACATGCTTTCATTTTGGTGGAACTTTGTAGAATGATTCAGATTATAAGCTTGAACATGTAATAGCAAGTCCTTAAGAGATAATGGAAGCATACTATGTTCCTGGTCATCTGCCTGCCATCTAACACAATTTGTTAGGATGGAAAGCATACTTTACTTCACCATTGCTTTTATTGAACAGCAGGCTTGCCTGTTGACTTTCCCAAGCCACCTATTTCCTTTGCATCTAGAGTTCCATCCTCAGTGGCTCATGACTATGTAATTAGAGCTACTGTACAGAATGGGGATGTTTGAATATGCTGTTTTTTGGCTAGTGCTTCAAAAATGTGCTATTTGTGATAGAAGCTTTCATTTTTGTTGTTGTGTGCTTTCAAGTCGTTTCCAACTTAGGGTGACCCTAAGGCGAGCCTATCACAGGGTTTTCTTTCTTCAGAGGGGATTTGCCTTTGCCTTTTCTTGCCCCTGAGGCTGAGAGAATGTGACTTGGCCAAGGTCATCCAGTGAGTTTCCATGGTCAAGCTGTGATTTGAACCCTGGTCTCCAGAGTCATAGTCCAGTGCTGAAACCACTACACCACACAGGTTCACAATGGCACAAAACAGACAGGTCAAAAGCAATGCCTTCGGGCTGATCGGGATGTGTGGCGTACAGATAATTCACACCCCGGTTTGGGCCAAAGTTGCGCCATGGCAGGCTAAGGCAGCCCAAACCCAGCCACAAAAGGAGCACCAAAAAAGCGTTCCTAGCTGGTGGTCCGTTGCAGACTATGGCGGTGGCTGGCCTCAGTACCACAGTGTCTAGTCACCGTGGTCCTGTGCTGAACTGGGAGTGACTGGCGCTGGAATGGCTAGAGGCTGCTCCAAGCTGCCAGTCCGCTTGACTACAAAGCTGTCATTCGATAACTTGATTCTTAATGATTTTTTTAAAAAAAACCATATGCACTAGAACATGGATTGGGAAAGTGTGGCCCATGATGTTGCACTACTTCCATTATCCCTGTACTACTCTAAGAAACCTGTACCATCTGTTTAAATAAAATTCTATAGCTATACTATTGTGCTACTGTTTATGTTCTAGTTACTTTTTTAGTGGCTCTTGAGCTGGAACAGGGCATGTTTCTTGTATGCTGCTTCTTAGGGTACATGTGTGTTTTAAATATGATGGTATGTCTTTTCCTTGTCATTTCTTTTGTAGGTTGACTTGTTTCAACTTCAGGTAAACACTCTACGGCGTTACAAAAGGCATTACAAGTTGCAAACTAGGCCTGGACTCAATAAAGCTCAACTAGCAGAAGTAAGTTGCTTATGAGAACATTTGAAGTGCCGTCTATTTCTGCAGCCAAACATGTTTATATTTTGTAATTCTTCTCATATGGAAAAATCTGGAAGGGTGTGGAATGCAATTTTGACTTAATTTAATCTGATTTTGTCTTTTCTTTCTTCCCAGTCATTTCTTTAATAAACCCTAAAAACCAGTAAATTATCTTACATCTTATTAGTTAATATGAACAACACATAATAAAAGTACTGATGTCACACCAAGAAAATACTAATGTTCTTTCTTTCTTGTATATAGGTTTCTTCCAATTGAAAAGTGGCATTTGTTCGATAATTTATATTTTTCTCAGGACAATTCACAACATATCAGTGCTAGGGAATCTCAGTATGGCAGTTCCCCCTTATCTGTGGGGGATATGTTCCAAAACTCTTAGTGGATGTCTGAAACCACAGATAGTACCAAACTGTAAAGTTTTCAGACTGCATTTAACTGTGGGTAACCATGGAGAGCTAAACTGTGGTTGGGGGTGGGGGTACATTATATTTTCAGACTGTGTCTATGGGTAACTGAAATTTCAGAAACTGAAAGCACAGATATGGGTTGTCTACTGTATGCTCTAAAGCAGGGGTAAGCAACCTTTCCCCTTTAAGGGCCGAGGGACTTCAACTCCCAGAATCCCAGGAGCTATTGGCTAACATGGGACTATTGGCCAACATGGCTGAGGCTTCTGGGAGCTGAAGTCCCTCGGCCCTTAAAGGGGACAGATTGCCTACCCCTGCTCTAAAGCTTGGCAAGTCGATTATGCAAAAGTCATAGACTGACTGTGCACTAGCTGCATAATTCAAGGATTCTTAATGTATTTTTTTTCCTCCTTTCAGACAGTAAGCCGCCATTTCAGGAACATCCCAGTGAATGAGAAAGAAACCCTTGCTTATTTCATCTACATGGTTAAAAGTAACAAGAGCAGATTGGATCATAAATCAGAAAGCAGCAAATTGGAATGAAAATTAAATAAACTCTGGACATAAGCAGGTGTGATATTAAAGTGCATTATAAATATTTTTTAAACTGTTTAAAGACTTTTTTGTAAATTAAATTGTGCAATAGAAAGTATATAGAAAAGTTTGGTCCATACTGTTAAAAGTATACACTTCGAGATGTGTGTGATGACTTCTGTGGTTTCAAATCCTAACATTTAACTAAGGGATAGAGATCACAGGAAAAATCAAGATGTCAAAGACAAGAACTGTACAAAGGATAGAAGTAAATCTTTTATGATGTATGTCACATATGGAATGAATTCAGCGTTTTGAAATTGGATCATATTGTGTCCAGAGAATATTTATAGCACAGATCAGGCATAGCACTGGACTTCTGGTACAAAAAAAAAAAACCCTTAATCTGTAGCTCACTGCTTGTGCACAATATGGGATTACTTGTCTCACATTTTCATGGGTGCTACAGTCTCTAAGCCTTTGTGTCTGTTGAGCAAGGGAGAGTTTTCATAGAGGAATAAGCCTAGCTTATCTGCTAATTTCTTTAAGAATATCTGTTTCATAAATTCATGAGTTAAATTGTTAAATACCTACATTGTTCAGAATAATTTTTAAATGATGAACTACTATAATTTTGACATGCTATCTGCTGTTTTTCTAGAGACTAGTATATATATTTTGATTTGTATTCACCATGATGCTAAAAATGGCTTCATTTAAGTTGCTGTGTGCCTTGATCCATAAATGAAATACCAGATTAAGTCTGGTACTGTTTGGAAGCCATTTGGTTGTAGGTTCAATCTAATTTTGACAAAGTATATATCCATTAGGCAAACTGTTGGTATTAATGGCCTATTTGATTCTCTGAAATTTGAGTGCATGATATACATTGCAGTGCATATGCATACAGCATCGCCATATTTTTCAGTGCTGGGGTAGCATTGTGACTTAAAGATAGCCTCAAGTTTGTGGCCTACCAGGTTTAACCTTTCAGATGCCGCTGCCCATTTTTTGTAGTCCCAGGTGGACATGGTTGACAGGGTTTTGACCCCTTTTTGAACTGTTAAAACAGACCCAAGTTACTCAGGCCTGGTCTAAAATAAAACTTTACTGAAACATCAGAATTGTGATACTATTTGTTGATGCTGTTGTATTTTATTCACAGTGAATATTGAAACTAATAACACCATCACAGTCCTTAACTTTGCTTTTAAAAAATGCAGTCTAAGTACCATTGAAATAAATTAATCTTGTCTCCAAATAAAAGGTGTCTGGTGTTGTGTAAGATGCCAAGATGCCTGCTCCAAAGATGATTTCTCAAATACTATTTCCAAGATTATATTATGCTTTGGTGAATTACTCTATGGGAAGATTTGTTATGCAGGAGTGTAGGGAAAAAGTTTTAACATCTTCAGTTGTTTTTAATTCTGACAAGAGTATGTGAAAACTACAATTTGTCTCAAAGACAATGAATTCATATGCAACAATGTGTTTGTTCATTTCTCTGGTAAACAGATGTTCAAGAAACATCAGCTTGTGTCATGAGTGGATATTTTTCCACATAATTGGATGCTAGTTTTAAGGGTGAATATTTTCTGGCAAGATATGTCCAGTTAGTACATCATAGGATATGTACATTTAATGCATCTTGTTAAAATACATGTATGAATGTGTAATTGGAAACAATGCTAAAATACTTCAGATTGCTACTTTGCATTTTAAAATTTGCTAAATGATTTCAGATTGAACTAGCCATAAATTCAGTTCAATCATCTTTACAGGTGAAACAATCTTTGGTTATTTGTGGCTTCATTGTGTGCAGCTTGGTGGCCATGGCACAATTTCTCTAAGATAAGCATCCTATGCCTCATTTCTAGACCAAAAACATAAACTTTTGAGCACTGGGGCTTATTTTTGCAAATAACTGCAGAGATCCAGAATGAATCTACAGAAGATGCACATGGGTTGTCTACAGAAAAATACCTGGAGAGTTTCAAAAATACACATGGATTGTCTACAGAAACCTACAGAGGCAAGCGCTTTTTCTTAAGGAGCTGCTTTCGAGATCAAATCAAAGAACCTTTTCCCCCAAATGAATGAACTAGTGAATAATACTTACACAAGCAAATCAATGCTTTCAAAGTGAAGAGGATCACAGATCTCAACATCAGATTTAAGGAATTGTAGGTGTCATAATTTGTGAGTCTCATTGCCTTTTATAAACATCTGTATATGCCTTATACTCAGCTAGACCAACAAGTGTTGAGCAAATGTCTTGGTATCCAGGGTGGACCATTCTTGTGGCTTATTATACTAGAAACAGATCCTGTTAACAGCAATATCTATATTCAGGGAGAAGCCTGTGATTCTTGAACATCTTGTTTTGAATCACCAAAAACACCATAATGCAGTTGTTTAATATAATGGCAAATTATGCTGCATGCCATTTAAGGAAACTTTCTATTCATGTGGTTTTAATAAAACCTTCATTGGCATTTTTGAGCTTCAAAGATATGAATCCTTAGGGCAATGGCTAAAATTAGTGGAATATATAAGAACAGCGTCACATTGACAGAGTTCATTAAGACATGCTGGTGGGTTGTATTTATTCTTGTCAGATATAAACTTTACATGCAGTTTAAGCAGTTCAGCAATGAACCTCATCCTGAAAGTGACTCTTTTGACACTTAGGGCTTACCACAACTATATTGACTGAAATCATTCCAAACCAAAATATCTGTTTAAAGCCATCAAACTCATCTAAGAACCCACTTAAACCCTACAAGAAGGGCCATAAATTGTTTTAATGGGCTTTGCATCAGAGCCGAAGATCTTATCATGGCACATCTTCTATAATGAGGTTGACTTCATTAAAGATGGTGATCCTCAGTGTGTTAATTGTTGTACTTGTAGTAGTAGTAGTAGCAGTAATAGCACAAGAATTTTTGTTCATCCTTTGAACTGAATGAAGAAAAGAGCAAAGGGAAGGGGAATGTGCAATGACATTTACAATAATGGAATTACATGTATATGAAGACATGGTACAGTTGATAGAACCATCAGGCCCATAGGGGAAGGCATCTCACCCTGTTCACCTTCCAAGTGTTCTTTGAATTGTAAATATTGCATATCGAATGTCTACATTAAATTACAGATGTTGTCTTGCAAGGAATGTCATAAAATTCAGAAGGGACAGTGTTGATATTCTTGCAGAACCCTTGAGTTGAGTCACAAAGCTAAACCAAACAAAGTTTCTTTTCCGCCACCTGAAAGATTTGTCAGTAAACCTTCCTGGGTAAGCAAGCAAAAA